TAGTGTCATTAAAGACTCCTCCAGTGTATTGTTCAAAGGCTGAAGTCATTGCAATAGTACAGGCAATGGGGCCTCGTGCATAGATCTCACTCAACATCTTATCCTCTCCTGATACTCTACCATGTTCTGTGACCTGATACTATAGGAGCAATTGATACAGTAACAGAATAATGTAAATGGCTAGTTAAAATTTGTGGCTGATCATACACAAAATCCCTGTACTATAGTACAGGGACTTTTGTCTGATTTTGAAGCAACTTGAAAAATTCATAGAAAATCCAAACTTGATCAGAATCTGTTCAATCTCTCTACACAGCATAAGTACATGTATATGCATCAGAAAATGTAATAAAATCGAGAAACTTTTTACTTGTCAATTTTTGTGAAATTTTTGAAAAATCCTTATACTATAGTACAGGGACTTTTGTCTGATTTTTGAGCAAATTTTAAAAAATCATAAAAAATCTAAACTTAATTGGAATCTGCTCAATCTCTCTACACAGCATGCATAAGTACATGTATTTGCATCAGGAAATGAAATAAAATTGAGGAATTTTTTACTTGTGAGTTTTTGTGAAATTTTTGAAAAATCTCTGTACTATAGTAGATGGACTTTTGTCCGATTTTTGAACAACTTTAAAAATTCATAGAAAATTCAAACTTGATCAGAATCAGCTCAATCTTTCTACACAGTATAAGTACATGTATATGTATCAGGAAATGTAATAAAATTGAGGAATTTTCTACTTGTCAATTTTAGCGAAATTTTACAACAATCACTGTACTATAGTACAGGGACTTTTGTTCGATTTTTGAGCAACTTTAAAAAATCATAGAAAATCCAAAAAACTTGATCAGAATCAGCTCATTCTCTCTACACTGCATTAGTACATGTATATGCATCCAGAAATCTAATAAAATTCAAGAATTTTCTATTTGTCAATTTTTGTGAAATTTTACTAAAATCCCTGTACTGTACTGTACAGGGACTTTTGTCCAATTTTTGAGCAACTTTAAAAAATCATAGAAAATCCAAACTTGATTGGAATCAGCTCAATCTTTCTACACAGTATAAGTACATGCATATGTATCAGGAAATGTAATAAAATTGAGGAATTTTCTACTTGTCAATTTTAGCGAAATTTTACAACAATCACTGTGCTATAGTACAGGGACTTTTGTCCGATTCTGGATGAACTTTAAAAAATTATAAAAAATCAAAATTTGATCGAAATCAGCTCAAACTTTCTACACAGCATAAGTACATGTATATGCATCAGAAAATGTAGTAAAATTGAGGAATTTTCATATTAATATTTATATTAATAATATATAATTAATAATTAGTAATCTTTTTAAAGTATTTCTCTAATTAATTACAGAAATGACAATACTTAAAGCAGCTGTTGTAATAATTCCTGTCTTAAAGATGAGAAGCAGTTTCTTGTTTTTCATCAAGTGACTTTGTCCTTAAACATCTTGCTTTTATTTTTTCATCTAATAAAAATAATAATTTCAATAAGTTTTTTCTCTTTTTTTGAAGATTCAAAATTTATGAATTAATAATAAATGCTTGAAGTAGTGTATGTATGTCATGGGTAAATCATAGATATTGGAGTAAATAAAATGGACAGAAAAAATCTGCTGTGTGGGCAAATTATTCTATTAAAATAATTAAATTTCCTAGCAACATAAGGTAGTTACCCCCAGACTTGCTTTATCCACCTCTGCAGCACTGATTAGCATAATTTAGTGCCATATGATATTTCAAAGAAATCCAGTGTGATACCATTATCATACTGTAGCAAAGATTTTACTCATCTACTACCTTTATGGCAAGTAAAAGTTTAAAAAGTAGCATTTTGTTTAATTTCTAGAACTTGTGTTCTTGGTATTTTATGTTAAAAAACAGGTAAATTTGCCATGTTCAGTTTGTCCCCGTTATCTCACTGCTTGAATAAATAATGACTTTAGATAAAAAATCTAGATGAGTTATTCACACATTTTCTTGTCTTTGCAAAGCATACCATATTTTCTCAGATAAAAGCCCGGGCATCTATTTCTTAAAATGGGATTTGGACCTCCAGAATAAATTTAAAATAAAACAGAACTTGAGGCAAGAGTGGGAGTCAAACTTTGGATCTCACTCAAGTAACTTTAGGAAGTTTAAGAAAGTATCTGCAAGGCATCTATGACTTTTATAGTTCCATCTTCTTGCTAACCTGGTGGGCATATATTTGCACCCGGCTTTTATTTGAGGATATACGGTGCTTTATAAAAAGGGACAAATTTAGGCCTAGTTGCTAATAGCTCCAGTTCCATGATGTGACTGAGGTAAGTACATGTGGAGTTTCCTATCCCTTTCATTTACTCAAATATCTGGTAAAATACATTTAGCTGCTGTGACCATACCCACTTTGCTAAGGTGCCTTAATTTGGTTATGTCTCCAATACAACATGCATGTATAGAGAAGAAATGTAAGTGTGGACATGCATAAACAGAGGATTGACCTGGGGGCTTTGCCAGGTTGTAATAATTTCAAAAGCTATACCTTTTAGCACTGAAAACTATAGTGTCATTAAAAGGTGAATAATCACTTACCTTTACGACAACAATTCTTTAAGCAATCGCACAAGAGATAAGTACATAATACTGAATCCCAACACTCAAGATTGCAACAACGAAGCCTCCGCCATAGCTGTAGAATAATGAATGTAAGAGCAGACACAAACAGGACACCAAAGACAATAATAAGAGCCCAAAGAGGTAGTTCAGATTCTTGTTGTGGACTACTACTAGGACAAGGAGGACATGGTGTTGGAGTAGGACATTGTGAAGATGACATAGTGGTAGAGCTGCAATATGCTAAAAGTCATTCTAATAAATAAATTAATACAATAATCGTAAAGAAACTTACAGGTAGTTGTTGTCACTGATGGATACACAAGATCTAAAAGATTAATAATATTTCAATAACTATAGTAAGTACTCGTGTACAGCACATTAAAAGTCATTCAAATAAATAAATAAACGTAAAGAAACTTACAGGTAGTTGCTGTCACTGATGGATACACAAGATCTAAAAGATTAATAATATTTCAATAACTATAGTAAGTACTCGTGTACAGCACATTAAAAGTCATTCTAATAAATAAATAAACATAAAGAAACTTACAGGTAGTTGTTGTCACTGATGGATACGCAAGATCTAAAAGATTAATAATATTTCAATAACTATATAGTAAGTACTCGTGTACAGCACAAGTTAGTGCATAAGTATTTAGTGAGGTGTAATTCATAAGATACTTACTTATTAGACCAGATTCAGTTGATGAATTAACAACATTACTAATAATAGCATTGTATGTATAATTTCGTCCACACATGGCATTATTAAATTCAAACATATTCCCTTTGGTACAGTCTTTATTTTCATTATATGATCCATCATCTGACATTAGTCTAACATTACACAATGTAATAGGAAGTTGATCATCAAAAGAATCCTATAAATTCAACTATTAAATTCGCTTTAAAACTTGAATAATGAATGCAAGTAGGTAACTTTTAATCACACAAATTTGCTAGCAATTCACTAGTTTTGTTCTAGCTTGTGTAAAATTACGTACACTTACCAAATTAATAACCTTTTTGTACACCATGCACACCTTATAAAAATCATGAAATGTTGTGGAAATTGGGACACAAAAACTTTTGTACATTCAAGTTCTTAGAAATGCTGAAATGATTCTAGTGTTGCTTTGATTTTACAGTTTTCAATCATTTCCCTATACTAAAACTAATGAATTATATTACGGCTAGATCCCAAAGACTTAGTTTATACTTGGGGTCACAAAGCTAAACAGCATGCTTCATGAGCTGACATACTAACCTCAATTATGATTAAAATACTATTTGAGTGACAATTAAAACGATACCCAACTGTGATATTAGGTCCTAAATAAACTTATGGTCACAACGTACTGCATCTAATAAAACTCACGTCTAATATGAATTGTAGTGTTTGTAGGTTGATCTGATATCACTCCAAAGTAATCAATGCTTCTCACATACATTGTGTAAGTACCAATATCATTATCAGGAACATTGTACTCATAGCACGTGTCTTCAGTTATATTATGAAGCACCGGTTGACCATCCCTCATAACTTTTACTTGATAAGAAGGAGCACATGTAGACTTTGGCCAACAGATATGAATGATAAGTTCTGATAAAGAGCTTCCTATTAGCTCCTTACAAACGAATAGGACAGCTGATAAATCTATAAATAACAGTAAGCAATGGGGTAATACCAAGTGAGTCCCAATACAGGGCCAATAGATACTCCAAGTTCACATGCACATGTTTGCTATACACAATTAAAACAATTGTACATGTAGTACATTATTTTACTTAAAAATGAATTATGTCATAAGGAGGCTACCCTGTCAATCTTTCTCTCATTAGCTGGTAAAGCAATTAAGCTGGTAAAACATGTGCTTATACATAATATTGTAATAATTTAGCATAAATATTAGAGTAAATGAAAGGGATAGGAAACTCCCATTCCTGGGAACCTGGGAAATCAAGCTACTTTCCCTAGTTACATCATAAAACAGGAGAAATCTTGGTACTAGTATACTCTAGCTGTTATTGTCCATATAGCCACTATGGGCCGACTAGCCCCACTGAATCCTTGTACTAGCAAAAGTATGCTTTGCAAAGACAAGATATATGGGCAGAAGACCCAGAATAACTCATCATCTTGATTTACCTTTTTCGTCATCACTTGTTTAAGCAGTCACATAATGGTGAGCAACTGAACACAGCAAATTTACCTGTTCTGAGCATACAATACCAAGAGCACATGCTTTAGGAGTAATTAAAGATGCAAGATCTGAAGAAAAGAATTCCTCAATAGGTTTTTGCTTCAAATCTTTCCCTTATGATTTTGCTATTGTAATGGGGACCAAAGAGGGAACTAGTACTTTTTTCCAAAATGTATAGTATAGAAGAACTTATTTTTTACTACAGCAACATAGTATAGAGTTAAAACAAATTATATGTGAAACTAAGTTTCATATATAATTTGTTTTAACTCTTGTACTTCAGCCCTAGTCTCTTCAGCCCTAGTCTCTTCAGCCCATATACTGTAGGTAACTGTAAACCAAAAAGTAAAGGAAAGTTGCTGTCTTGCTTTGTAACTAGCATTTGTTGCTATGGCACAATACAAAGGAATGCACACCCTTTCCTAATTTGCTTTCCCTTTTACTCTAATATCTATGACGAATCATGCTATTATGGATGAATTAAAGTCATGAAAACCACACATACAAATTTACTCATAATGAGTTTTATTTTGGCAATTGGCTCCCAATATTATAACTGCCAGTAATGTAGGCGTACACAAAATTAAAAACCACCAATTACAAAATTACCAAAATAAAGCACTACTATGTGGTCTGGTCACGTTAGACAAAAGCATTATAACCAAAAGGTGGCATCATCAAACATTACTGACGGCAATATAGTTGCATATCACTGACCCAAATTTGAATACCTTGTAAAGGTAAGGTAACACTAACTATTTCAGAACCAGGGAGAAATAGGCCATTAGAACACTCAAGTGTCACTCCATTAGCACGACGAGTTAGATTAGAAGAAGTTGCTATTGACGTGATTATACCACCAGATACATCAGTGACTCTGGTACTGAATGGTGCCCGTCCAAGTGGGCGCAAATTAGCCGTGCTGCCCCGGGCACCAAAGTATGAATCTGTGTCACCACCACCATCAGCTTCATCATAACGCCATGCCACGTGAGTCCCGTTCACAGTACAGGTAAATGTCACCAGAGCACCTAAACACACTTCAGCATTTGGCTGCAATATAACATTAGGCCTAGCTATAAATTACTATTATTATTATACAGAATACTGCAAACATCACTTACAAATGGATGGTATAATAAAAATGGCGATCAGAAGAACATGATGAAACAGAGCAAAATTCTCCATGATTTTGAATTTTTGATGATTATTGCATGGCAACGCATAAGCTTATAATATACTATACTATACTATGTCCCAACTGAGAATGGACCGGAAGTGGAAGCAGCTGCATTGGAATTTGAAAAATGTAGCTACGTCACTAATGACGTCTTATAATGATATTCATAGAGACATGGCCGATATTTCGGCTGTGTTGTTTCACTCTTAAAACAGTCTTGTTCTTCCTGATAAGCAGTACAATAGCTGCTGGAGTCAACTAGTCTTCATAAAGGCCATCATTATCAGAAAATCTTGCTCTATTAGCATTTTAAAAGAAGAATTATCAGTTTGGGCGCTCGACCACATGTGCTTATGTAAACTATGACATCAATAATCACATCATAAAACGTCATTGCGGTTAGCTTTGGTATGCCATTGGGTTTATAGGGAGAACCCAGTTCTCAGGGTTCCCAAGGGTTGAGAGACCCAAGACCTGAGATCCTGAAGCGGCATTGGGCAACTAAGAACCTGTGAAAGTTTCATCCTTATCCTACATTCCTATAAAAAGTTATTCCAGTTTTTCTTGGTCCAAACTCAGTTGGGACATAGTATATACTATACTATGTCCCAACTGAGAATGGACCGGAAGTGGAAGCAGCTGCATTGGAATTTGAAAAATGTAGCTACGTCACTAATGACGTCTTATAATGATAGAACCTGTGTTTCATTTCAAATACCTGGGACTACATTTTACATGCAATCTTTCATGGAATCTTCATATCTCTTCAGTTAAAAAGAAGGCCCGTAAAGTAATAGGACTTATCTATCGTCACTTTTATTGTAACTCATCTTCCTCAACTCTCCTTCGCCTTTATGTAACTCTAATTCGTCCCATTCTAGAATATGCTGCAGTTGTTTGGGATCCGATTTCCCCTTCTGTCTCTTCATCCATTGAATGAGTCCAATATTTTGCATTAAAAATGGTTTCTAAATCTTGGTCTTCGTCATATAGTGACCCGGCTTTTGTCCAAATTTTCTCTTATTACTTTAGCACAACGTCGCTTAGGATCATCCTAAGCGACGTTGTGACTTTAATTTTAAACAAAGTGATAAGTTTGAAGTTCAAACTTATCACTTTGTTTAAAATTAAAGAAAATATGCTTTTCTCACCATCTCATCCACTAATTCAATCTACTCCTTTCTCATACTCTCTCCGCTCAAATT